GTTAGGAAATAAAGCTTACGATAATATTCTACTTGTTGCTAACATACTGCCAATTGTCAGACGATTCCCCCTCTGACCGTGGGGAAAAGCTGGAGGTGTTGTGTGAATGTGATGTTTGTACAAAGAGTTGGCAAAATAGCCTCTTGACGGTAGCATTTGCAATGCAAACATCGGTTCAGTTCAAAGATTCGGGACATGTGGATAACTCATGACTAATAAGGTTTGCAGCGTAAACGGAGTTGTGTACAACACTAGTCGAAGTATGGTTAATGTGTTTTATCCGCAGTCATTTTAATTGAAGTGATTGCATCATTTCGACGGGCAGCGCCATTAGTGTTAAGAATGAGAGTGTGGCCAGATGCTTTACCGATAACTCAAACATCCAAACCAAGAGATCATTCCTGCTTCACTTTCAAGTCCAAAATTCGTCGAAGTTAATTAATTGACTTCGGTTTCCGGTCGCACATCGCTACTGAAAACAGCACAAGCACACTCATTTAGCTATGAAAATGGACAGCCGCCAACAAATAGGTATTTCGTTAGAGAAACATGCAGAAATCGGTGGAGCCTAAGTTTAACATGGTGTGGCCATTTGACAGCGGTAGTTGTAAGCAGACAAGACCTGTTTAATGTTCACTCTGCGGACTCAATTTTAGCACGATGTGCTCAGTCGTGTCCACTAGCAGTTATGCCTAGTCTCCATGTGTCAAGAAGCACAGACCAAAGGCATTTTCAATCAAAGCAATTCTACCTTATTCATCCAGTCTTAGCAAACTCCAACCAAACATTATCGAGTATTCAGTGAGGTGTACTGCCCTTTGCCTTCAGACTCACGACATTCAGAACGTGACGTCAGAACTCGGAGAGAGATCAGCACAGTTAGGACATGCAGCAGAATGGTCGATGTAGAATCTAGCCTGAGATAAAATCATCCGGCGTGAAGTCAGTGGTGGGTTAATTGAATGAAGTGCAGTGATTTCAAGTTGGTTTCTACCACTGCCTTAAGCAGAGAGGTGCGACCCAGAACCGCAGTCTAGTAGTCAACCTCGACGACTTGTGGGTAGTGTTTGGTGTCTAGAGCCGTTTCATTCCCAATGTAGCTCAGATATCTGACCTCTGACTAGTTTGTTCCTAACAGCAGCTGTTACAGTCTAGCAGCAAACAGTCAACGCAGCAGCTCAGCCCCAAGCTTATTTCTCAGCCAAGTTTCACCTAGCATGAAGGCGTTACACCAGTTTTAGTCGCCAACCACTAGCCATCTACCTTGCCATTGGTATTTATAAGCCATCTTACTGCACAATACCTAGACCTCACGAAATAACAGGGCATTTCATGAGCCACCGATTGCTTTGCAAGTGCAAATGTGCTGGTTTAATAAATTTTTGCCAAACCTATGCACGAACAATTCTACGATTCCGACTCATGAATAAGGCAATACTGTTCTAGATAAGACATGCATGTTTTTACCGTGTTTGCTACTTTGTTTGCGTGCAAATTCACATTATGTTTTATTGCTAACTCGTAATTCCACGTGTTGTTCTGATTGATGTCAGCAGTCACACACTGTTGTGTTGGCTAATACTCAGAAGACAATTGGCTGAAGTAGTGAAAGATGGAATATAAATATTACTATCCCATTGGCACCAGCAGACAAGTAATCTCTTATTACTGCAATGCTTCTCTTTCTCCTCATCTCAGTTGTTCCTGTTAGGGCAGCCGAAGTAAGAAGCGGTGATGCCTTGTTAACTCTTCGAAATGGTGTTTCCTTAAAGGGCACCAAATGGACCGTCGATGGCGTGGTGGTGGACGCGTATCTGGGCATCCCATTTGCAAGGCCACCTATTGGCAACCTTCGTTTTGCTCCTCCGGTCGAGGCAAGATTGTGGAAGGGTGAACGTGATGCCACACAGCGTCCAAACACCTGCTGGCAGTACCTTTTCAGTGGTTTCGACTTGGCCAATCCTGCCGCACGCGTGTGGGTTAACAATACGAGGATGAGTGAAGATTGTCTCTATCTCAACGTGTGGGTGCCTGCGAATATGCCGCAGGATGGTAAGCCACTACCTGTGATGGTGTGGATTTTCGGAGGAGGCTTCTTCAGTGGAACGTCCACACTCGACGTCTACGATGGCAAGTTTCTTGCAGCTAAGGAGGGCGTCATTGTGGTATCCATGCAGTACCGTTTGGGACCGTTTGGTTTCCTGTACGTGGATTCGGAGGTTGACGGAAACATGGGTCTCTTGGATCAACGCCTTGCTCTCAAGTGGGTTCAAAAGCACATTGCGAAATTCGGAGGTGATCCGACGAAGGTGACGTTGTTTGGAGAGTCAGCTGGTGCGGCGAGTGTCACGTTGCAGTACCTCTCACCCGAGTCTCGTCCGCTCTTCCAGCGCATGATTCTTCAAAGTGCAAGCGCTCTCAACCGATGGGCACTGTCGACGAAATCGGTGGCTCACGATGCCGGTCTTTCAGTAAGTGAAATGCAGATATTGGAACAATGTAACAGTGCAATTATTGATGAAAATAATAATAACAGTAGTTATAATAATAACATAACATGACGCTTCATGCTATATCCTAAATTTAAATGCTGAATGCATACACCATCTGCTTGCACAGTGCGTTTGCGTCTGCAAAGTTGGATTTTGTTGGCAGGTTGAAGACAAATAATTTACCTCGTATGAACCGTTAAGGGTCCATAATGGAAGACACTGAATGCAATTAAAGTTCGTTTTGTCGTCATTATCTGAATTAACATGGTCACCTGTGGGGTCAAATAAAAGTGTGTTTACGACAATAGTAATAATCAAGTAGGAAGCACCGACAGCAGGTTTGTGCCAAAATTAAATCATTATTTACCTTGCTTCGTTCCAGTTCATCAAGACAAGCAACTGCTCCATGAATGGAAGAAACTTAAAGAAGGCAGTGAGATGCCTCAGGGAGCTACCGGCTAAGACCCTGTTTGACAGACTGTATGAGCTGTCAGTTGCATCAACAGCTAGACGCCAAAAACGCCTCTCTTCGCTGCTTCCTGCACAGTGGCCTGACACATTCCTCACCTCTGCTGCTCAGTACTTCGAGGTCATCATGCGTCCCGTTCTTGATGGCAAATTCTTACCGGATTGCCCGACAACCCTGCTCAAGTCCATTCAGGAGGGCCAGGCGCCAGAGGCTCTGGTCGGCAACGTGGACAAGGAGGGCATGTACTGGCTATTTTACGGTCTCGGCATAAACGGCATCGATTTCCTCAGTGATGAAGGCACCGTTACTCGCCCAACACTCGATCAACTAAAAGCAGCCGATATCGACTACTTCCAGCTTGTCCAGACTAGGTTCATGAGTGTGGGTCATCTAGTCCCTCAATTTTCTGCAATCACCACAGCTCAATATGGACTAAACAGCCCTTTCGTTAAACAAATCATGGGCTATGACACCGTTGTGCCACCCAATGCAATAAGCAGCGAGATGGACTTCCTCAACCGACTCGACAATTTGAGTGGAGAAATGGACTTTGTTTGTGGCACTCAACTGTTTGCCAAACTGCTTGCAGCCATTGCGGGTGCGAAGGTGCAGTATTACAACTTCATGCACAAGACGGTGGGCAGTCAGTTTCCGGCGTGGGTGGGTGCGATGCATGGTTACGAAACCGAGTACGTATTTGGCATGCCATATTCGAGTGAATTCCAGACGAGCTTCTACAGTTTTACAGCAGAAGAAAAGGAACTGAGCGCGAAAATGATGCGATACTGGGCAAACTTTGCGCGATCTGGGTAAGTGCAGTCTGGGTTTGATAGACAAGAAGCTCATTACAGTATGCAGACTCCTACTAATATTCTAGTTTATTTGCTGCAGTAATGCGTGTTTTGCGAGTCATTGAAGGAACGTACTTGATGTCATCAACCGACATGCTAATTTGATGGCATGTGTTTTATTGC